TATCGCCAATGTATACATAATATTATATATTATATCATATAATATAAAATAAATATTACATTTTATATGTCAAAAAAGAGTTGCAATTTAATGCATTTTTATATTAGTAAGCATTAAATATAGTATGTATTTATGTATGAGCTCTTTTATATTTGAAGATTTATATAGTGTAAATATCATAATTGATGTATTTAGGAGTGTGCTTGATTGTGTAATTACAAGTGGAAAAAAACAAGTTGTCTTGAATGAAAGCAGGCAGATGAACCCTCACAATGTCAGTGAAGACTCCAGGCCTCATGAGGTTGATCATCTTGGCCAACATGTAGACGTTCAGCGCGCTCTCTGCCTCAAGCTGTTGCAGTAGAGTGAACAGCGCACAGAACGATCCAGCCGTCACACCACCACGCCTGCACAAACACAGGCAACCCAGATTAGTCAACAAATCAATGATAAAGCATGTTCAGTTCTTCACTACACAGCATTTTTAGGCATTAAAGATGTGCTCCTCATTTATGCTGACTGATAAGACACCTTGGTTTGACAAGCACTGTCTTGGATAAAGCAGTCCCTGATTTACACGTTGGCCAGCATGTAGACGTTCAGCACACTCTCGGCCTCAAGCTGCTGCAGTAGAGTGAAAAGTGCACAGAACGTTCCAGCCGTCACACCACCACGCCTGCAGATACAGCACAACTCACGCCTTCAGAAATCATCAAGATATAGAGATTATTAAACAAATCCATGATAAAGCATGTTCAGTTCTTAACCCTAGCGAGCCGCCCACCTACACGGCATTATTAGGCATCAAAGAAGTTTAATATTAAAAACTACTTTTCCTACTTAAATACAATAAATCTTGCATACTTTAAAACTTTTACTCAAGTAATATTCTAAACGGTGACGTCTTCCAGAGTCATTTTCTGGTAAGATATCTGTGCTTTTACTTAAGTGTGTCTTTCAAGTACTGTATCCACCACTGCAGACAGCAGACAGTGAGGCGGCTCACTAGTTTCTGGAACAGACATAACATGTCTTTTCCAACACGCAGTGTGCATCTCCTTCAGGGCCAAGATGCAACTCACTCGTCATGTACGACCATGGGTCCATCTTTGGAGCCGGACTCTTTTTGGACGATGTTGATCAGCTCAAAGACATTACTGATGGGACTGTCTGGGTTTGGCCAGCGTGGAGCCCGGTAATGCTTCACTTCTAAAACAAAATCATCCTGAAAAAGAGAGAAAAGAGGTTATAATAAACAAATCCATCATTAAGATGTTTTTAACTACAAACTGTTGCTTCCAGGTAAAATACAAGTCCGTATCACCACTTTCTCCAGTGAAAAGTCGTCTCGTCTGAATCAGGAGAGAAATACGTACAGATCATGCGCTGTTTACAAGCCAAAACAGTCTAAACAAATATGTCGGTGGATTTTGATATGAGAGCAGAACAGTGGATGGACTTTTTCACTGGAGGAAGCGTTAATATGGATTATGGACTGGTATTTTGAAGTGACTTTTTAAAGTTAAAACAACTTGATGGATTTGTTTATTACAAACAAGCAGCTTTTCGCTTCACAGGACATTAATTGATGGACTGGAGTGGTGTGGATTACTGTAATTTTTTTTATCAGCTGTTTGGACTCTCATTCTGACAGCACCCATTCACTGCAGAGGATTCATTGGTGAGCAAGTGATGTAAAGCTAAATTTCATCAAATCTGCTTTGATGAAGAAAAGTGAACTTTTTTTTTTTATGTGTGTGTGTTTATGATCAATATGCTTCAGCAGATACAGATGGTTTAATGCCAAGTGTGTGAAAAGTACCAGATGTGATTTTTAACAGACTCTGCTCTCACTTTCGTCAGCAGCCATTTGCTCCTCCTAATATTTTCCACAATCGTACGGCAGGCACCAGCTGCAATCTTTAAAACAGATGCCTTTGTTCGTGTTTTTGAATGATTTTGGAGAACTGACGCAAAGAAATCACTCATTTACAGCTCTGTGAATCGATTATCTCAGCTTTAGTATGATACCTTCCTTTCAGTGCATTATGGGTAAAATCTCTGATCCTCTTAATGTTGCTAATGTTAACTGTTGAATCTGATTGGCTTTGCAGCAGATATGATGTTACCTGTGTGGCCTCTAGAATGTAATCCTGCACTATCAACATGTCTTCATTGGACAGGCACACGTGGCCCTCCCCTCGTAACGATAAAGAGAACGTCTCATAGCTGATTGGCTGATCTCTCACAGGCCAGAATATGATTGGCTCGCTGTCTTCTGTCTGGGAATGGAATAAAGAAATGACAGAGGGAGGAAAGAGTGAATGAGAGATTAATGAAAGTACAATCGGTTTCATTCAGCACTGGAAGATCGACAGGAAATGTAGGAAATAGGCCTGACGTTATAAAGCAGTTAAAAGCTGTACTGACCGTGCTACTCGTGTCCGACAATGAAACAATAACCTGGGCGTTGTGATCCCACACCATCCTCCACAAGTCCTTCACTGTGCTGGGCAAAGGATTCTGGGTAATGATGAACTCTTTGCTCTGCCGATAGCCCTGATATGAATGCATGAATGAGTCTTAATATCAATCTAAATAAGGTTATAAATAGAGGATTGACTGGAGAAACGTTGGATGTCTCACCATGACGTATGAGGCATTGATATAGTCAGACGTCTCTCCTGCTGATGTGGACAAACACACTCTGGATTTCTCCACTGCAAGACACACAACAATCACATGAGAGGACTGAATATCTGTCCATCCATCCATTCCTCTATCCATCAGTCTATTTGTCTATCTATCTGTCTGTCCGTCCAACATCAGTCTTGTCTATCTAAAGAAATGACAGACTATATCTGTCATAGACACAGATATCTATCTATCTATCTATCTATCTGTCTATCTGTCTGTCTGTCTGTCTGTCTGTCTTTATCAATCTATCTGTCTGTCTGTCTGTTTGTCATCTATCTATGTGTCTGTCTGTCCGTCCAACATCAGTCTTGTCTATCTATCTATCTATCTATCTATCTTTCTATCTATCTATCTGTCCGTCCGTCTTTATCAATCTATCTATCTGTCTGTCTGTCTGTCTGTCTGTCCATCCAACATCAGTCTTGTCTGTCTGTCTGTCTGTCTGTCTGTCTATCTATCGATCTATCTATCTATCTGTCCTTTTGGAGACAGTCTGTCTGTCTGTCTATCTATCCGTCCGTCCGTCCGTCCGTCCATCCGTCCGTCCAACATCAGTCTTGTCTATCTATCTATCTATCTATCTATCTATCTATCTATCTATCTATCTATATCTGTCTGTCTATCTATCCGTCCGTCCGTCCGTCCGTCCAGTCTTGTCTATCTATCTATCTATCTATCTATCTATCTATCTATCTATCCGTCCAACATCAGTCTTGTCTATCTAAAGAAATGACAGACTATATCTGTCATAGACACAGATATCGATCTATCTATCTATCTATCTATCTATCTATCTATCTATCTATCCGTCCGTCCGTCTTTATCAATCTATCTATCTGTCTGTCTGTTTGTCATCTATCTATCTGTCTGTCTGTCTGTCTGTCCATCCAACATCAGTCTTGTCTGTCTGTCTGTCTGTCTGTCTATATCTATCTATCTATCTATCTATCTATCTATCTATCTATCTATCTATCTATCTATCTATCTATCTATCTATCTATCTATCTATCTATCTATCTATCTATCTATCTATCTATCTATCTATCTATCTATCTATCTATCTATCTATCTATCTATCTATCTATCTATCTATCTATCTATCTATCTATCTATCTATCTATCTATCTATCTATCTATCTATCTATCTATCTATCTATCTATCTATCTATCTATCTATCTATCTATCTATCTATCTATCTATCTATCTATCTATCTATCTATCTATCTATCTATCTATCTATCCGTCCGTCCGTCCGTCCATCCATCCGTCCAACATCAGTCTTGTCTATCTGACTGTCTGTCTTTATCTATCCATCTATCCATCTATCTATCTATCTATCTGTCTGTCTGTCTGTCTGTCCATCCAACATCAGTCTCATCTATCCATCTAACATAAAATAATGAACAGAGAATGAAAAATAACAATAAACACACCAGGAATCAGAGAGCAGCTCCTGTTCTTTGTTCTGTTGCAGTCATTCAGGGCACTGCTGTAATCATTCTGTTTGGCATTCGACTGGCACACCAACTGCAATGACAAGGTCATTGTCATGTATATCAGGTTACATTATTCAACTACAACTGTGCTGATACAAATACTTCCAGCTGTGCTCTTCAGAAATCACTAAAGAACTGAGAGCACACTTACTTTAAACTGCTTTTCCAGCTGTGTCTTACATGAGGCCCCTGGGGTTAGGAGGTTGTTAACATACTGATGAATATGGCTTGATGGCACCTCTGTCTCTTGACTCAAAATGGCCTCTACTAGAGCATCATGGGTAAAGATGTATTGCTCCTGTAAGGGTACCAGAACAACTGATGTTGAGAAGGAAACTTGAGTCCAACTTTGAGTTTATATTTTAAGCAACACTAAGGATTGATTAAACAGAAAATAATGTATAATTTTTCTTTATAGAGCAAGTTCTGTGCACCAGCATGAGATTTGAATTGCTGTTCACTCACCTCTGTTTGAACTAGATAGTTCCGTTGTGTACGAATGTGTTTGAGGAAGCCCATAATGTTGACTGTCCCCTGCCCTTTAATCTGTTTTAACATGCTGTCCAACACTATGTAGGTCCCTGTTCGGCCCACTCCAGCACTAAACACACACAAACACACGTCAGAAGTGTAAAATATACAATATGACTTTATACGTTTAAAGATAGTCCTGTAACCCACCTGCAGTGTACAATCATTGGCCCCATGTGGTCTGTTTGAGCTCTAGCGGACTTGTAGACGAATGAAAGCACAGGCAGGACGTACTCAGGTACACCCATGTCTGGCCACTGTGTGTAGTGGTACTGTATTACTGTCCTCTCGTTACTACGACCTCTCTGAGAATCCTAAAAAAAATCATCAACATCAAGTACACATGTGATCTAAAATCAAGCAAAAGTTAATGCAATCCTGATTGTTTTAAAAAAGAAAGAGTATCATCATGTTAAAAAGTTAAAATTTTAACATTTAATTAATTCAATTAATATTAACAATTTAATATTACTAATATTAAAAACCTGAATGATTGTGTCTAAATAAATACTCAAATTTAATCTACGATTTTAAAATGCCAAAAGTGAATCTAGGCATAACATCATATGTACAGTATTAAAAATTAAAAGTAATTTTGAGATTTGCTAAAGATTACATTTTTATAGTGTTTATAAATTCTTTTTTTTTTAAATATTCACTTTAAGTGAGTTTTAGATTATGGCAAAGGTAGTAAAAATAGAGGAAAAACATTCACAATTAAATATCCAACATCGACCAATACAATACAAATAAACACCAAAAAAAAAAAAAAAAAAACTCTAATATCAGCCCTTAACTACTATTGTTCCAATATATTGTGTATGCCTACTTGATACCTTCTTTATGCTGGTATTTCTGATGGTGAAGGTTCTCTGGGTGTAGTGCGCGAGGACTTTTGTGCTCTTAACAGTAACCAAAAAACATCCATAGTCTTCCTGGTTCTCCAGAGGCCAGTACTGGTCACACTTCCTCTGAGAAATGGATAAACATTGTTGTGTTCAGGCTGAATGAACCCAAATTTGTTATTGTCTTGTCACCCCAAAATAAAAATGTCATAATTTACTCATTCTCATCCTCTTCTAAACCAGTACAATTTTGCATTTCCAAAAGAAAATAAAAAAATATATACATATATATTCTTGTCCATGTGACTTGTGGGCTATATTTCAAGTCTTCTGAAACCATATGAAAATGTTTCTGATAAGAGAAATCTTTTTTGGGTGAACTATTTTTTTAAATGTCAGACATTACATCAATTAATTTAGGTAGAACCTGCACTAAAATGGCTCACCCTTCCTTTCTCCATGATGTTTGTGATCATAACAATCACTCCCACATTCTGCTCCCACACCATCCGCCAGAAATCCACTGTGCTGGACTTTAAGGGCCCTTGTGCTGCAATGTAGGCTTTCTGTTTGTTAAAACCCTTGTGTAAAACAGAAAGAAGAAACAAATAAAGCTACAGGAAGTAGGGAAGAACAAGTATTCTTAGTTTAAACTTTGAAAGAACATCTCAGGTGACACAATATTACAATAGGGGCCCCAAACACTTTCTCACACTCAAAGTGCCACCATGCCTGACCTTTCTATGATCGAATCAATAGCAAATCAGCAGTGCTTTTTATCACTTGTGCTAGTTATATGGTTACCCTTTGAGGTATTCATGCCTCACTGATTAAATAATGATATAATCATCATGATTTGCCTGGCAACGTTTCTGAGTTCAGTTAAAGTCTCTCACATCCACATAGTTGGCATTTATATAGTCCCCTCCACTTCTCCCATCTTTGTCATTTAGGGGTGCGAGTCGCACTCTGCTGTGGTCATCTAAAGGATGTAATTGAAGATGTAACCATTTTATATCAGTCACAGAAATGTGCATCTAATGCTTGTATTAATTTGTGGCAGTGGTTCTCACAGGCTAAAATGTTGACGTATCGGTTCTTGTTCTTATTGTCTGGATGGCTGGAACAGTCCGTTGTTGTTCCGAGGTCCACGGTGCACGTCTGAACTTCCTAAAAAACACAACCCACTATTCCAACAGTCTGCCATAAAGTGACAACACTAAAGACATAGTCAAAGTGCAGACAAGTGAGCATCACAAATTCATGCTAAAGCTATCAAAAGCAAACAAATTAAAGGGAGATGTGGCTTACCTCAAAATACTCTTTCAATATCTAATGGGGGGGGTGAGAATGCAAAAAGCAATGAAATACAGTAACAAACTGTGCACCAGAAATACAACACAAAGCAAAAGCACTGACAGCCTGGGTTGGATTCTGCTCATTTTAAGTGTGTTACTCTACAAGTTTCAGGATGCTGATTGGTCAGTAAAGCAAGAAATTACGTCACATTGTGAGATATCGAGTAAGATTGTGAAAGTCACAATTATGAGAAATAAAGTCAAAATTCAAATGAAATTAAGTTGCAATTGGGAAATAAGTCACACTGTGCAACAAAGTTGCAATTATAAGAACTAGTCACAGCTGTGAGACATGAAGTCACAATTGTGATAAAGCTGCAATTGTAAAATAAAGTCAGAATTTTGAGATATTAATTTTAGTGGTGTCAAAATTAGCGAGTTAACGCAGGCGATTAATTTTTTTCAGTTTAACGCGTTAAAAATATTTAACGCAATTAACGCAGAGGCGGGGCTAGGGTTGGCCACCCCACTCACAACTGCTGCTTCTGTCACTTTTTCTCTTGACAAGAAGTGCATTTATTCAGTCGCAGAATGACTGAGAACGGGAGACTTTTCAGACGCGTGCTCCACTTCACTTTACTTCAGCGCCAGACGCGAGTCAAGCGAGCGCGGAAATGGTACAGTGCTCGCAGCGCATGATCTTCAATTGCAAGCACAAAGGCGCCGGCGCGCTGTAGCCTGTATCCTTTCATATCAAAGCGTGAAATAAACTACGTGCATGCAATGTCGTGGTCAGTTAAGTCATGAAGTTACCAAAAAGGCGATTAAAGCTGCCTTAAAACTGTGCATGCATGTAATATATTTTATATGAAGGTAAAAAGAGTTGAGAGAAAATATGATGCGTGTCAGATCCGTGTCACATTCGTTTCACGTTTCAAAGAAATAACAGCCAAAATAACCTAATAACCAGCTGCTGTGATGTCTATTAATCAAAGGACAAAGAAAAAAAAAAAGAGGAAAAAATAACTTCTATAGCTTTAAGGATTCATCTATATTTAATTTAGAATTTATCGTTTGATAACTTCAATTTCAATTTCTGTATATTTCCGCTGAAGGGCACAGTTAAATATGACATTTATTATAATGGGTTTATGTGAAGATTGTTTTAAATTCACTTAAATTAGAGAAATCAGTATTGGTATCTTTGATTCTGGCCTTCAGTCATAAAAAAAGATGCCATTCAACAAATATAAAAAAATATACTGTCTTTATGTTGTTTGCACATTAATTTGAAGATTGAATGTGAAATTATTGCAATATAAAAGTATATTTAAAAACTTGATATTAGGTGGGATTGATCTTGAATAATTTCAGGAAAATGTGTGATTAGTTAATTTTTTTATTCGATTGACAGCGCTAATAAATTCACAATTACAAGAAATAGTCACAATTGTGAAAAAAGATGTAATTGTGAGATGTAGTTGCAATTACTGTAAAAGAAAAGAAGTTTAATAAAGCTGTAATTCTAAGATATGCTGTAAATTCGCAATTCTAAGAAATAACTGCAATTGTTAAATAAAGTCGCTAAATTGTGAGCAATAAAGTCACAATTTTTAGATATAGTAACAATTACCAGACATAAAGTTGCAATTGTGAGATATAGTTGCAAGTGTGGGATATGAAGTCACAAGAAATAATTGCAATTCTTAGATTACTATGAAACTATGAAACATAAAATTGTAATTGTGAATTGAAGCCACAACTGTGAGAAATAAAGCCGCAATGACAAGAAATAAAGTTCAAATTACGAAAAGTTACAAGGCAGAAACAGGCTTCCATGCAAGCTTTATTTCTTAAATATCTTTATAATCTTTTTCTTTAATCTTTATAAAAGCAAAAGTAGAAATATACCCAAATATATAATTATCTGATGACTTGAGATATGTTGAACTTTCAACTGAAGTTTTGGTTTAATCCAGTTAATGATTCCATGCGTTTCTGTTGACTTTTAACAAAGTCAAAATAATAAACGAATACCAGTAAATTTTCAGGAACCTTTTCACTGCTGTATGAATGAACTTAGCCACAAATATCAACTATGATCAATTAAAATGGACAGAATCCAAAGACCTGCTGTCATGGATTGAACAGAACATGCATTTAAAGTCTATCGTTTGTATCAGTGCAGGTGTTTAACGTAACTAGCATGCCACAAAACTCATTACGCTAAAATAAACGTTCATTCAGCCTGAACATGACACAAAAAGCAACACAGCTCTCAAACAGAAACTTCTGAAACATATGCATCACTTTTTCATAGGTAGCGCTTATGACAAGAACTAATAAATTAGGTTTACTGTCTCGTTTGTGTCCAATTAAAGCTTGCTTGATTTGTGCATGATCTAATGAAGTGTGAATAATTTAATGTTATGGTGAGAATCTACAATCTGACACTGATTGATGTTAATGAAGCTGTAACTGGGTCTTTTTGTGCACCTGACTGGAACATAGAGCTGAGTGCATTACTGACCTAATTATAACTCAAATTTATTATCAACAACCTGCGTTCATGCATGAATGGATAGAGAGCGAATATACGTGCCTGAATGAACTGAACAATTCATTTATAACACATGCCTTAATGACATGTTGATCTTCTACATCAAGGCTCGCATGAGACAGCTGTCCCTTGAAGAGTGTCAAAAGAGAGGGGGATGATGGGATACAAACCTCAAACTCTCTAGAAAATGAGTTGGTGTTGTGAAGCTCAGCCACATGCTTCACAAATTGCTTTACTGACTGGGGATCGTGTTCACCTGGAAGTGTAAAAGACATGTCTGATGATCAAAACAGCAGTGAAACGCAATTATAATGATTATATGGCATGTGGTTTAACCATCAAGTAAAAGGTATTAACATATTTTCCTTACACTTTGAATACATTTTAATCAATATTTTTTGTATTTAATGTATTTTTAGAGGTATATATATATATATATATATATATAATAATTATTAAATTATTAATTATATAATGAATTTAAAATTTATACATGTGACTTCTTATCAAGTTTTAGTGAGTTGCACCACATGACACTGATCTGTTATTTTAAGGGACTTATTGAGCTTGACACAAGAGGGTCTGCAGGGGTTGTCTCTATGATTTCATGATTGTTTAAAAGCAGTTTTGTTGAAAATTTTATATGATAAATTATAATAGTAATAAGTTATGCCTACTTTTAAACTACTTTTAAAGTTTTCTTTTCTATAATTAATTTTAGGCTTTTTCTCTTCATTATAATATCAGGACAGTTGTACCACTTGCCATTTTTGAATTTATGCCCCCCCAAAAAAAATATCAAAATGAATTTTAATTCAGAAAATAAAAACATGGTCACCATAGACAAGGTGTATTCAAGTCATTTAGTATACAAATTGCACTTTTACTTTTGCACGTTTTCTTTTTAAGTAAATTTTTAAAAATTGCATCAATTATTGACCCAAAAATCATTAGTACCAATGAAAACTCTATATTATGTTTATGAAAAGGTGTGTGTTACCTGTAGGGCTCAGCATTGGCGAGGAGGATATAACCCTGGGTGATGTGCTGTCTTCAATGTAGAAATGAGCAGTCTGAAAACATTTCCTGTAACGGTATTAAACACTTTTTCTACTCTTTATGTAACATAAGTACTTTTGACTGAATAGCATGTAAGGCAGATGTACTACACGAATTACATTCACACAAAGTTAATAAAAACACATAAAAAAATTAATGGTTCTAACATGCAAGCTTTGATTATTTCTACAGTGAGGAAATTTTTTTTTGATCCCCTGCTGATTTTGTATGTTTGCCCACTGACAAATAAATTATCAGTCTATAATTTTAGTGGTAGGTTTATTTGAACAGTGAGAGACAGAATAACTCGGATTTCCAGAAAACCGCATTTCAAAAAAGTTATAAATTGATTTGCATTTTAATGAGTGAAATAAGTATTTGACCCCTTCGCAAAACATGACTTAGTACTTGGTGGCAAATTGTAGTTGGCCACCAGGTTTGCACACATCTCAGGAGGGATGTTGTCCCACTCCTCTTTGCAGATCCTCTCCAAGTCATTAAGGTTTCGAGGCTGACGTTTGGCAACTCAAACTTTCAGCTCCCTTCACAGATTTTCTATGGGATTAAGGTCTGGAGACTGGCTAGGCCACTCCAGGACCTTAATGTGCTTCTTCTTGAGCCACTCGTTTGTTGCCTTGGCCGTGTGTTTTGGGTTATTGTCATGCTGGAATACCCATCCACGACCCATTTTCAATGCCCTGGCTGAGGGAAGGAGGTTCTCACCCAAGATTTGAAGGTACATGGCCCCGTCCATCGTCCCTTTGATGCGGAGCAGTTGTCCTGTGCCCTTAGCAGAAAAACACCCCCAAAGCTTAATGTTGCCACCTCCATGTTTGACGGTGGGTATGGTGTTCTTGGGGTCATAGGCAGCATTCCTCCTCCTCCAAACACGGCGAGTTGAGTTGATGCCAAAGAGCTCAATTTTGGTCCCATCTGACCACAACACTTTCACCCAGTTCTCCTCTGAATCATTCAGATGTTCATTGGCAAACTTCAGACGGGCCTGTACATGTGCTTTCTTGAGCAGGGGGACCTTGCGGGCGCTGCAGAATTTCAGACCTTCACGGCGTTGTGTGGTACCAATTGTTTTCTTGGTGACTGTGGTCCCAGCTGCCTTGAGATCATTGACAAGATCCTCCCGTGTAGTTCTGGGCTGATTCCTCACCGTTCTCATGATCATTGAAACTCCACGAGGTGAGATCTTGCATGGAGCCCCAGACCATGGGAGATTGACAGTTATTTTGTGTTTCTTCCATTTGCGAATAATCGCACCAACTGTTGTCACCTTCTCACCAAGCTGCTTGGCGATGGTCTTGTTGCCCATTCCAGCCTTGTGGAGGTCTACAATCTTGCCCCTGACATCCTTGGACAGCTCTTTGGTCTTGGCCATGGTGGAGAGTTTGGAATCTGATTGGTTAATTGATTGCTTCTGTGGACTGGTGTCTTTTATACAGGTAAAGAGATTAGGATTTTAAGAGAGTGCTCCTAATCTCAGCTCGTTACCTGTATAAAAGACACCTGGGAGCCGAAATCTTGCTGATTGATAGGGGATCAAATACTTATTTCACTCATTAAAAGGCAAATCAATTTATAACTTTTTTGAAATGCATTTTTCTGGATTTTTTTGTTGTTATTCTGTCTCTCACTGTTAAAATAAACCTACCATTAAAATTATAGACTGATCATTTCTTTGTCAGTGGGCAAACGTACAAAATCAGCAGGGGATCAAATAATTTTTTCCTTTACTGTATGTTGTCGTCTTATCCACATATGCGCTTGAGATTGAACTATAAGCTTAAAAAATAAACTCAAAAACCATATTCAATCTAATCCACAACACGTTTTAACAGGATCACCCAGAGGACTTCCTTAACTGTTTTGTCTAAAACGGTAACTTCTTGGAAGGGATTAGTGACCACAATGAAAAGTGACACAGATTTAACGCTAACGTTTCAAGATGTCCCATTAAGTGCGCATCTGTCTGCTCTCTAAATGAGCACCATGTAGCTACAGATGGACAAGCAGTCATACATGCCCATGTTCTGCTGAGATTGAACCACCCACGGCTGCACTAACAAGACATGAACATGACTTGGTCGTGTTGAACATAATCACGTGGAGGTTCTTTCTCCAGCCTGGCAGCATGTGTTCCCTGTAGGCCCACAAACAACAGATCAGCGTATCTTGAGATTTAATCACCGGCTCCAAGATTACCGATTTAATCTCCTCGCAATCTTCACGGTGTAACAACAAAAAGTCAAACATGAGCAATATGTTGAAGGGGCAAGAGGCACGTTGGAATGAGAAATGTACAATCTTGTGCCACTAAACTGTTTACACTTCTGAGACATTTTCTTAATGGGATTGCCAAAGTTGCTTATTTCACAGTTGGGAATATCTGATGGTAAACAGGATTTCAGACTTCCATCCTGGTGTGGAAGGACCATTTTTACCGCTTTGGTGTGAATTCTGGGCTTGTTTCACACACACACACACACACACACACACACACAGAGAGAGAGAGACAACTGCCACATCATGGCTTGTTTATCTTACTTCCTTTTGAGGTGGTACCTCACCCGGTGGGTGTGAGATTGGGTCTGTGCCCAAGATTAGACCCCCATCACAGACAGACAGCACGCTCCTCATGGGGCCACACCACTCCCCCTTATCGACTATTGTTATGATTATGGATTAGTAACAATATGATGGAAATCATGAGCAGCTGTCTCAGAGGAAATATATTTTTGTTTTCCATGCATCCTGTTCGACTATGCATGACCAATGCCAAAACAGTTAAATGCACAGTAAAAAAAAATTAAAATAAAATAATAAAATAACCTTGCTTGGGTAACATAAACTGCCTTTATTTGTGTCAAAAGAAATATTATGTAATTTAATTTATTTTTAATGGTCAGCAAGTGTATGCAATATAGAAATAATAAAACAAATAAAAAAAATTACATATATGTTAATTAAAAAAGGAAATGTTTTTTACATTTGTATTACATATACAATTCTATATTAAATAAGATGCTGTTACCCATTGGACTTACCTCCAGTAGATAAAAATGCCAATCAAAACGATGAGACCCAGGAAGGTGAGGGTGGAGACCACAGCCAGAGGAATCACAGCCTTCTTCTGGCGCTCAATGCTGCTTGCCAGGCCCACCCGCGACTCATGACTGCTGTTACCAGCATCTATGGGTTAAAAAACACCCTACTCAGATCAGAGCATCATTAGTAATCAATGTTCTTGATGCAAAATGCAGTATCCTATTAGAGATAATTAAACACTAAAAAAACACAGCAAACAAACTCACCTTATAAAATGTTTGTTTTTTTTCAAGTCAAGTGAAACTATCACACTTCACATAACTTGTAACACAGATCAAGGTTGATCTTACTATAGTACTAAAGTGACATAATTTGCAAACCAGTAGGCCTTAAGACATGCAATAACTGAACAATGTAAAAACAATGAATGAATATCTACAGTATGTAGACGCAATAAAGTACAATTAATGCAGTGGATAATAACAACAACAAAAATAGCAGTTTTTGTTAAAGGTGCTAAATCTGTATAAAATGACTAAAAACCACCATTTGTTCTTTAACATATTGAGTTCAAGCTATCAGACACACAGGATATTGACTCAGTTTTTCTTTGATTCTTAAAGACCTTATAATCAGTATGTCATCCATAAGGATTGGTATAGCACCACTTAATCTATTCCATCATAAATGTGTTTTGAGTTGGTCTGACACTAAGAAGCTAAAGAGTTCACAGGTCATGATTCATTGCAGACAGACACGTTAGAGAGATTAAGACTTGGCCTAGGACTGTCTGAGATGACTTCAGCATCCCAGCCAAAACACAATGCTGCCCTGCCAGCTGTCACCTACTAGTGACCAAATATAAGAGATTTGCTGCTCTCTGCTGGACAAACAGTGAAATTACTAAGTTCTCTCATGGAAGAAGAATCAAACTGTGCTAACATAGCTAAGCCAAATCTTAGCTCAGATGCTATGCCTCCATTCAGTTTAAATTGCTATACAGACATTCTATCATATAACACTGGATAAATCTACAAATTGAGCCCACAAACTCTATAGTAATTGCTAAATATATAACCAGGTATCTTGGATTTGACTTGAGATGGAAAACATGCTGTTGGTATATTTCTGATAACAGATGTGAGCATGCTAATACACATTTTAGCAAATAATCACATGAAGAACATGCAACACAAAACAGAACACACATGAATCACATGGGACTAGGAATCAGACACATATTGTGATGATGGGATTGAATTCTTATTAAGATGATGGTTCTTTAGTAGCACATTTTAGCCTAACTTGTCAGAAGATTCGATGTATACAATAATTAAGGACAATGCCGTGAGCAAGGTAAGTGAGATCTTACCTTCCCAGTGAACTACCTTCTACAGAACATTTTCTGGATGAGATTTTAGTTGTGTAGGTGACATTTGTGGTTGGTTAAGGCATTCAGAATTTAGGATGGATTAGTTGTCCTTGCAGCAAGAGCTTTCAGATACTTTAAGACTCTTCACTGATGATTCACTGATCAAGCTTCACTGAGCATGTCTAAATCAAGAAGCACCTTCAGGAATGGACGTCAACAACCGAGAGGTTATGCAACACAAAACAGAACACACAGGAATCACATGGGACTAGGAATCAGACACATATTGTGATGATGGGATTGAATTCTAATTAAGATGATGGTTCTTTAGTAGCACATTTTAGCCTAACTTGTCAGAAGATTCGATGTATACAATAATTAAGGACAATGCCGTGAGCAAGGTAAGTGAGATCTTACCTTCCCAGTGAACTACCTTCTACAGAACATTTTCTGGATGAGATTTTAGTTGTGTAGGTGACATTTGTGGTTGGTTAAGGCATTCAGAATTTAGGATGGATTAGTTGTCCTTGCAGCAAGAGCTTTCAGATACTTTAAGACTCTTCACTGATGATTCACTGATCAAGCTTCACTGAGCATGTCTAAATCAAGAAGCACCTTCAGGAATGGACGTCAACAACCGAGAGGTTTACCTTCCACTGGTTCCTCCTCTGAATCCCTCTCAGTGCGCTCTGGAATACTGAAGTCTGAAGATGTCTCATTATCTGTGAGGTTTTCTCCTGATCCGCTCTCCTCTTCCCCACTTCCTCTTAGAGTCCAGGACGGGCTAGGGCGCAGGGTGACTCTGAACTCGGTAGATTCACTATCTTTCCCATTCTCACCTTCAAAGTAGAAGGAGGAAGAGTGTTCCTCGTTCCCATCATCCTTCTCTTCAGGAGGTACCTCTGTAGGAGTGGCAGTGGTGATATATGGGACAATACTTTCATCTCCTGATGCTGAGCTCTGGCCCAAATCTAAGTCAAGAGCCCAGCCCGAGGCACTGTTCTCCAGATGTCCATCTGCAGAGTGTGTAGGCATGGAACTGGACTCTGGAGCAGAGGAAAGTGCAACGGTTGGGGGCACCACAGGAGCAACCACAGAGATGGATTCTGGGGCAGAGGTTGGCGCAATAGTTGGGGGCACCACAGGAGTAGGTTTGAATATGAATTCTGCAGTAGAGGTTGGCGCAATAGGAGACCTTACGGGAGCAGGTGCTCCCTGGGACTGTCCAGTTGCACTTTGTGCAACGCTGCTGTTGGTGGCTGAAACAGAAATGCTGAGGTCACTAGAAGGCATGGTGAAAATGGGAAGAGATGACAAAAGAGCCTCGTTGCGGAGGTCCAAATCTGCTTCGCTGCACAGAAGAGTACCTGCGCTGGAGGTGGACAGAAACGAATGGTGTTCTACAGGACTAGATGGGTCACCCAAGAGACCACTACACGGGGACAGTCCCAAAGTAGAGGAGGGCAGCAGGAAGTTAGAAGAGGCATGCAGAGAGATTTCAGTAGATGCACCATTGTCTTGACTAAAGGTAGGAGCTACTATAGAAGAATCTACCCACTCCGTCAGCAGTCTAGAGTCCCCAACGCTACCTGAGAGAGAAGAGTCAGAGTCAAGGGTTGTCGTCGTCAAAGAGTAGTCGTTAGAGACAGGAACTGAAGGCTGGAGATGTGCAAAAGAGCTCAGCATGGAGACAATACTAGGGGAATCAGAGAGGTCATGTTCAGAGCTTGGCTGCATGGAGACCACAGAAGCAGTCACTTCTGGTAACGTTTGAAGGGGAAGAGTACTTCTACACTGGGGGTCAGCCGAGATGGACCCAGACAAAATATCATCATCACCATCATCATCAATACAACCACCACTAGAGACAGACTCCATGTCTAAATAAGCCTCAGAGCCGGTGAGGAATAGGGTAGGGTAGGAAGGGGAAGGGGTGATAGACTGTGCACCACCATACACCAGCTTGGAAACAGTGTATGGGATGTCCCAGTCAGGGATGGGCTCAGACAACACACTGCTTAAGGAATGGGGGGACACAGGACTTGCATGCACGTAGGACAAAGTGTCAGATACAGAGGGGGCATACGAAGCACTCTCACCATTAAACACTGGCTGGGTGGTCTGCGACAGAACAGTACTGAAAGCGTCAGTGGTTGGAAAAGGCAAGCTAGCAGTTGTAGGCCACAGAGGGACCTCTGGGGGGAAGGTAGAGGAAGTTGATTCCATTGGGATTTCAGGCAATGGTGCTACAGTCACTGAACTCTCCCCATAGCTGTGTGAGTCGGTTACAGTTTGAGTCACTTCCTCAACCTCCGAAATGTATATCGAAGGTGATGTTACAAATGTTTTAAGGGTTATGCTTTTTTCAAGGGTTCTGCTTGTTTCAGGGGTGACACTTGTTTCAGGGGTGACGCTTGTTTCAGGGGAGTCGCTTGTTTCAAGGGAGACGCTTGTTTCAGGGGTGACGCTTGTTTCAAGGGAGACGCTTGTTTCAGGGGTGACGCTTGTTTCAGGTGAGATGCTTGTTTCAGGGGTGACGCTTGTTTCAGGTGAGATGCTTGTTTCAGGGGTGACGCTTGTTTCAGGGGTGACGCTTGTTTCAGGGGAGATGCTTGTTTCAGGGGTGGCGCTTGTTTTAGGGGTGATGCTTGTTTCAGGGGTGATGCTTGTTGGAGAATCTGTGAAGGTATTGCTTTGGCCATCAGACTCTGAGGATACACCTGCTACAATGCTAGAACCATCTGGTCTAGTGGTATGTATATCCACAACAAAACTGGTGGCTATGGTTGCCGGGATGGTAGGTTTGTCTGTGTATTTCAGAGTAGGTTCATCTGTGTATACTGCTGAAAAATAATGATCATGAGTCTTCTGGGAGTCTTCTACTGAGAGTCTTCTTTCATGAGTCCTTGGTGTCGTCTTAATGACTGGATGGACCGGGCGCTCTGTTTTAGTAACTCTTGGGCTGGTTGTGGTGGTTTGGAAGGGATATGGAACCTTATTTGTGCCAGGTCTGATCAAAAACGGACTGATGTGATGGTCTTCCTGAAATAGAAGAAAGAGATGGACAGAGAGAGAAGAGGTGTTTAGTTTTGTTGTTGAAAAAAATAATTTAAATAACTATACACTAAAGTAACATTGACAGTTACCTCTTCATCATATTCAAACGAGTCGGAGTCATTGTCTGTTTCTGAAAATTAACCAGACATAAAAGAGTTAAAACACTGTATGAGTAAAAGATTCACATGTCAGCTACAGAGAAGTATGTTCTGTATGCTCTTTACATTTTTTATAACAATGTCTATGACACTGAAACTAAACCATTCTGGTATTATATTGAACTATTATATAATGAACAGATAATTGGTGAACAGATCCGATAGTGACAATATTTTCAGTCTTTTTATTTAATAAAATAATTCTGAAAACAGTTTCATGTAACATGTACACAAACACACACCTCAGATACATTTGAAAACCAATCAGTGTTTATAATTTCATCCATAATGGACAAAGAAAATTCATGTTTGAGAAACAAAGCTCGAAAACACAAACTGGTTTTCAAAGTGTATTCAATGACAAACCACGTGCCTTAAAGGGACTTTTTTTTGGCATTTGGTATTATCTGTTGCTGTTGAGAGTACTTAGGTTAAGAAGGAAGGAAAGGTAAACCAGGCCACCACCAAATAGGATTTGTTTAGATCATTCTTCAATACATAGAGAACATAAAGGAGCAATCTTTGGGTCAGAGGGTCAGTTTTTGATCACATACATTATATCACACGACAGGCGAGTTTGGACACCTTCATGCATTAAAAATCCTCCCAGCACACAGAGATAGAGAGAGCTTTCAATTTCTTGCAGGCTCTTACCTGTCATGGGATCAAACTCAGTGACATAAAATGGTGGAAAAGACCCCAGAGATTTCGTGATATGTGGACAAGATCGGTTTGTGAAGCATGGAAACATTAAAAGGTAGAAGATGTATGATTTTATCAGATAGACCGACCCCACTTCACTGATGTAAACCCAATCAACTCTCAAACATGTTGTGACTTGTTTGATTGGAAAATGACAACACATATATCCATAGACACTGAAATATGATGACAGGGATTCTCAGAGAGACAGATAAGTTAAATCAGTAAGCAAAATACAGACCCAACATTCCAAAGAATTATAAAAGAACACAAAAAAAACACAAAATGAGTATTTGTGAGAGACAGAAAAAAATCAGTAAATAGAAGGAAATTCAAAATGCAAATAGTGACGACAAAGTATAAGATGGACAGACAGAGAATAAGAGGAAAATCCTTCAAGACGACATGTATAAGAATACTGACAAAGACAAAAAGTCTACCTAAAACCAGAAGCTGTAAGCAATTTTAAATTCCATTCACAGTTCAAATTAATGAAAACATTTAAATAAATATGAATAAATTACAACTTTTTATAAGTTAAAATATTCTACTGAAAAAGTTGTTTTCAAATGTGCAATCAGTTTGTGTCAGCCTGATTTAACACTATACATTATAGTACCGAACTTTAGTCTGAAAATGCAAATGCAAATACATGAACATAAATGTTTCTAGGTATGCAAATGCAAGTTTGTGTGTTGCTGAAATCCAAAATGTGTCAGAAAAGTCTTTAATACCTGGAGAAAACTGTCCATTAGCACAAACTGTATGTTCAATAGGACACATGCTCTTACAATCCATAGGTCAAGCATTCTGATCTATGTTTACATAATCACGTACTGTAAAGTATGTTTCTGTCTAAAACCTGTGAAACACTCAAGGACTGTGTCCATTTCTTTATAAGACTTAATGGACACCACACCATTTTCTGGACAAGGTAACTGGTTTGCAAAGGATCAGTCTACAGCCTGAAGCATTTGGTTTTTGTCTAACATTTGCAGTAAAACTATAAAACTATGTGGGGCATGAGTGTTGTAAACTCATTCTCCACGGATGCGAGGGCGGCGGGCGCAATTGGTCTTACCAGCATCATCCAGGGGCATGTCCACTGTCAGCTGGTCACTCACTCTGCCATACAGACCGTTGGTGCACACAGCAACTACCTGCACCATGTAACTAGTGTTGGCCACCAAGTCCTGAATGATCGCCCCCTAGTGGTTAAAAAAACAAAAACAAACTAAATTAATCACAATTGATTATCAGAACCTGCAATGTTATTCAACTTCTAGAAGGTAAAACATGGAAAGGTGACCTTTACAGTGTAGGCCTAATTTTCAAGATGTGCTCATTAATATCTGATATTTATGACAAAAAAGTTAATGAATTACCACATCCTGGTCTCCATCAGTCAAGTACTCTAAGGCCGATTCATCATCGCCCTGGGCTGGCCGGTAAGTGACTGAGTATCTCTCTATGCTCGAGTCATAAACGGCCCGCGGTCTCTCCCAGATCACAAGCATACTGGTGTGATTATTAGGGTTGGCTTGCACATTCTCTGGCTCAGAACTACAAACTATGATAGCAAACACACAAACAAATACTGTTAAAATTAGTCACTCTGGAACTTTTCTTATATTAAACAACAATGAACAGGAAATAATACTAATAATAGAATAATAATAATAATAATAAACATGATGCCAGATAAAAAGATAACATGGTATCCATAGGTTTCTCTATTGCATTCACTACCGTTCAAAACTTTGGGTTCGGCAAAATCTTTTGATAAGTCTCTTGTGCTCACCAAAGCCGCATTTATTTGATCAAAAATATAGTAAAACTGGAATATTATTAATATTTAAAATATCTGTTTTCTATTTTAATATAATTCCAAATGTAATTTATTTCTGTGATGCAAAGCTGAATTTTCAGCATCATTACTCCAGTCTTCAGTGTCACGTGATCCTTCAGAAATCATAATATATGCTGATTTGCAAGAAACATTTCTTATTATTATCAATGTTGAAAACAATTGTGCTGCTTAATATTTTTGTTGAAACTGTGGTACAATTTTTTCAGGATTCTGTAATGAAGAGAAAGTTCAAAAGAACAGCATTTATTTGAAATAGAAATCTTTTGTAACATTCTAAATGTATTGGGTCAGATTATGTCAGATTATAGCCTGGTTTAACATTGGTTTAGTTAAATCCACGTAATTTTCATCACCCTCAGAGTTCTCAGTAACAAAGCCATACTGATGTGGGTGGGATGTTTTTGGTGTACCACCGCCCATCAGCTTCTAACACAAGAGGGCAGAAAACACCCGCAGATGAAACCATCTGTCTACTATCAGGGTACTTAAAAGTGATTTCTAATCAGAGTACTTAAAGGTACTTAAACATTTTTTGTTAACCCTATAATAAAACAACAATCATTTAAAAAGAAAATAGCCTTTTTTGAGATTTTTATGATATTGTTACTATTTTGATTTATTGTCGTCATTTAGTGTAGCGTTTTGCATTGGTTCCATCCTATATTTTTCATATGCTGATGTAATTCCATTTGGGAGTGAGCACATGTGCATTTACAGGTCATGTCTTGCATTCATATCAAACAAATCTTCTTATATGATCAAACTGCTAATTATTAAAATTGCAAGTGACACAGACCACTTTCAATTAACACAATGATGATAATAAATCATCAGAGAAATGTAAAAGCTAATTAATAAAAATTAAAAAAACACATACACTCTGCATGTATGCTTTCGTTTCACACTAACATCAATTTTGGTATATTAGGTGTAGACAGTTTGAACTGAATTCAACCTGTGCAAGTGAGGGGGCAAACAGAAAGAGACAGTTTCCTAGCAACTCAAAACTGTTTTGATACGTGACCCAGAGAGAGAGAAAGCAAGAGAGACTTAATAGTGGTGAGTAAACATTGTTAATACTGTGAGCACAGTGAAGGAGAGGTTAAGCAAATCTGGTTTGTCTGGCTACATTTGGCATTGCATTCCCTTGTTATGTAATTCTGAGATTGCACCAGTCACTCAGTATGTGGTGAACACTCATCAGAATGATATATATATATATAGAGAGAGAGAGAGAGAGAGAGAGAGAGAGAGAGTAAAACACTTACAGGAAACAGCAAATCCAACAAAGAATATCAATAATCCAAACTGATGATCTTAAATCTTGGCCCTGAAATCTTTTTCAGCACATTTCCACCCTCACATTTCACGTTTCCCAAGGTTTAAATTAAGTCACAAGTAATCAGTCAGTCTTTACAAAGTAATAATGCAGCATTAAGGTTGTAAATGACATTCCCCAGGCGCTGATTTAAGCTTAGACACAGGTTGGAGCGTATCTGTGTTTGAAAGGACACAAGTGGGACATTTTCCATTGCCGATGGCCCCTTTAAAAACAACTCCCACGTGCCAAACGTGCCAGTTCACCCTGTAGCGGAGAAATCTGAAATGGGGTATCGATGTTCCACCAACGATCTGCTAAAGCGGAATGTCTGAGAGCAAAACAGTTCGGATCTGCAAGTGGTT